CTTTGCCTCTGTCCCAGGATCCAACCACTTCTGTTTACAGAGATGGGAGGGTGCAACATTTTTGGCCCAGGATGCAGTTCTCCAGAAATGGGCCATGGTGTTGTTAATGACCTTAAGGCAGTCCAGAAACTGTCATCCCCAAAGAACCATTAATAGCAACAGTTATGTCACCTTGGCTATAATAATTAAATCAGCATTGATTATAGCATCAAACACAAACCAAGTATTAATAAACCTAAAGGACAAATAATGTACCATCCTTAAAGATAGGAAAGAGGTCTATAAAGACTCATATCTCTACTAAAAATAGAACAGTGTCCAACAGCAATAGTGCAAAGTTAACTAGCTGTATAGAGATTCATAAAACTAGTCATTATACTAGTAAAAGTAGAGTGGGAGAAAGAAAGAGCAAAATTTGAGAAATTAATCAATGAGACAAGAGGAGGAGGAGAAAAATGGAGATGGGCATCCTACTGAAGAGTAAAAAGGAAGTTAGCAGTGTTAGAGAACAGTCATCAGAAAGAATAAACAAGTAAAAGAAGAAAAAAGATAAACAGAGCAAAAATACAAGAAAGAAAAGAGAAAAAATTGAAAGGAGAAAAAAGAAAAGGAGAGAAATGAAATTAAAAGGGGGAAAAAAGGGGAGAAAAAGCCCCAAATCCCTCCAAAAACCCAATGTAAGAAAGATAAAAAATATTTAAAAATAAAAAAATTTTTAAAAGATTGAGTCAAAGAAAAAATTCTTGTGTTTTTGAATGAGTGGTTTCTTTCCAAGATCTGCAATCTTGGGAACCACCCAATCATGATTTTCTCCACCTAGCTCTAGGGCCTACGGGTTTCTGAGGTGCCCTCCCTGCACCAGAGGCCTCTGTGTCTGTTCACCCCAGACTGTGGTTACTGTCTAAGCCAGGGCATGTCCTTGCTCCTATGGGAAAATGGGAAACATGGTCAGCCGCCTGGTCTCTGCTGGATATAGGCCACAGCGGCAGGGACTCATGAGGACCCTGATGACTTCATGTTGACATTCCCAGGGTCCTTTCTCAGCCTAGGCATCATCTTTGGTTAGTCCTTCCCTCCGATACCCTGAGCCAAGGGGAAGCAAAATGTGAAGCCAGCTTGGAGTTAGTGGATGGCACCAGCGTGGGGTGGGGGTGGGGTCACCACTGACCTGCAGGGAACTGCCTGCCCGGCCAAGGGGAGGGTCTTGGTGGGTCCAGCATGAGACCCTGGGCTGACATCCTTGCTTTCCTCAGGGGAGGGTCACCACAGCTCTGGTGCAAGCCTGCCTGCTCACATTGTGGGAGGGATGCCTGGGCCATGTCCTTACTGGAGTTGGGAGAAGGGTAAAGTATTTTAAAAACGTTATCTTAAATAGGTGGCACCTTGGGCATTGAGTGTCTTTACCATCTGTCTTTGCCACAGTTCCTTAGTAGTTTATGAAACTTTAGAAATTATTGGTCTGTTTTCTAAAATTGAAGTAAATAATCTCACTTTGGACTGCTAGCTACTCTTTATATGGTTTTTGATGATGGGATGGTTTAAAACAATTCCCAGTTTGGCGTCTTAATAATGGTCACTGTATTAGTTACTTTTCTCTTCACTGAGATAAAATACCCAACACTCAAAGTTAAAACAGGAAAGATTTATTTAGCTCACAGTTGGTAGAGGTTTCGGCCCATAATTGCCTGGCTCCAAGGCAGGGTGGTTTGGCAGAGGGGCGTCACAAAGCAGAAGATAAGCAGCAGCAATATGCTACAAGTGACAATAGCAGCGTTATTTCTGCCCCTTTTATATTCTATCTAGACTACCAGGTTTACAGCAGGTGTCAAACTAATCAGGGGATTCATTTAGGAATCACACACCTTTAATCCCAGCGTCACACACTGTAGATCCAGCCACCTCTGAAAAAGTCTATGACCGAAGGAGGCTTTGGGGGAAAATCTAAACACAAGCCATAACAGTCAAAACTGTTGTCAATTGTATTGACAACAAAATTCTTTTATCCATGAGTAACATTGTTCTAAGTGCTCATGTGTCACTCATTTAATCCTCAAAACAGCCTTATGAAATAGGTACCAATATTACTCTATTTTCTAGATCACTGTTTTATATATATATTTTTTTCTTTCTTTTTTCTTTTGGAGATAGGTTCTCGATATATACTTCAGGCTGGCCCTCAACTCCCTATGTAGCCAAGGCTGGCCTCCAATGCATGGCTATCCTTCTGCCTCAGCCTTTCCAGTACTGGAGTTACAAGCGTGTGCCACCATGCCTGGCCACAAGTGATTTATATATACTTGCTTTAACATACATCTAAATTCAGCATTGGAAAAATAAGTCCTGTTTCGCAAGCTTTATCAGTAAGGCTCAAGTTAGCTAGTTATAAGCAGGAAATGATCAGAAGAAAGGGAAGTAGCAGCAGAAGCTTTTTTAGGGTTTCCTGAATCTTTTAGTCTCCAAATAGATGAATTTCAAATGAAAAAAGGCTTAGGCAATTCTTTTAAGCCATTGGTCAAAGGAGAATTACCTTTTGTTTACCTCTAAGTCAACAAATAATCTTCCAGTTTTTGTGAAGAGCAAGATCTGAAATGTATATAGAGGTCTTGAAACATTAGCTTTTTCTAATCTCCCAAAGAATGCAGAAGCTCAAGAACCATTCTTCAAGTTAGAAAAGAGACAAGATGTACAAATTCCAAGTTTTCTCTCAGTGGTTGACTGCCTCACCTAGCTGCGGGGCTAGGATAGCTGGCCCTAGCAGTGGCAGACAGGAAGTCTGAGAAGTAGCTCTGACCAACCCTGCCACGTGTTAATCTGGAAGCCTTGTCCCCTCTTGCTGGATTATTGTATATGTATAAGATGTTCCGATAGTGATCATTTCTTTCATATGATATGATTAAATGTAACATATTTGAATTCAGGTTCATAGTTCCAAAATTGTATCATTAAAACATCATTAAAGATAGAAGTTATATAAGATGAAAAAATGAGTCACATGAAAGCTTTGAGTCACATTTTTAATTCTAGTTAATACTTTCAATATGCTGTCTAGAACTTTTTCACTAACCTTCTCAACAAAAGGGATTGAATATCACTGGATTTAGTTCCTCTAAATGTTTTTTTGGTTTTGTTTTGTTTTTTTGGTACCGGGGATCGAACTTGAGACCTTGCGCTTTCGAGGCAGGCGCCGGAACCACTGAGCTAAATCCCCGACCCTCTAGATGTTAAGAGTAACATTTGTCCCTTCTCACCTGTTCATCTTTGAAAGTAGAAACTAGAATATAATCTCATATTACTATTTCCTTTGTATATCTGTTAAGTGTACTACAAGGCATTTAAACATCAGAAGAATTTTATAGGAAAATTAGAAATTAAGAAAACTGAGAGGAAAACTGTAACTAGATTATCAGTAGTTTGGATGTGGTTGACAAAGAGGAGGTCAAAATAATAATTAGCTGTATCTTAGAGACTGAATAACATCAAGGTTTGTAAGTCATTGATAAGTCAGACTGAAAAGGTTGTACAGTAGTATTTGTTATCTTCTCTCCAAAATTTAATGTTCCTTTTCCTGAATATATCATTACTTTGACTCAGTAGTTTTGTGCCACCCAAGTAATTTGTAATTATCTTAACTGCCTTTTAAAGAAAGGTGATTAAGTGCTTTACTCATGGTCACTTTTTCCATGTTCTTTCGGTTAAAGAACAACTTAAACATGGCAAGGCTGCCACATGCCAAAGGTCACATAACCTGTAGGTATAACCAGGTTCACTAGTTATGAATGTAGTGCAATATTTTGATTCATTAGGTTACTAAATCTAGTGATAAATTAACGACTCATTTGCCACATACCTTTCCAGTTCCATCAAAGTCACCTCATTAACCTTGTGGATGTATGCGTTTAAACCCAATTACTTCAGGAAATCATCTGAAAACACTTTCATCCTGGAGCGGAAAGCTTATGCAGGTTCGGAGAATAATTCAGAGTTTACACGATGCTTGGCTCTTTTCCCACAGGTGCAAAAGAATGAATGGCTAAAGTGATACCAGGTTGAAAGGATTTAGAGAACCAGTGCTCCGATGCTTCTACTTTAAAACAAGGAAGCAGCTCTTAAATCAGAAAAACATCTTAAGGTTTTACTTTTAAGCAAACTAGCATTAATGGAATCACCACTGTTCAAAATATTTCCGGAGCATTGGTGTGTATTTCAAAAATATTAGAGACAAGTAAAGGATAGACAACAGGAATCAGGGGGATACTGTAGATCTTTTGCAAATGAAAGAGATCTAGAGATGGAGGGGGACAGAGAAGGAAAAAGAATTAAGATTTGTTATGTGCATATACTAACTCCCTATGATGAATGTAATCACTATGACTGCAAACGTGTACTACTAAATTTTCTTTTTCAACAGAAGAAAGGTTTTTCTTTCTCGATTTCTTCTCTTTTCGTCCTTCTCAAACTCCAACCCACTAAATGGCTTAAGTCGCACTGCTGAAAGGATTTTGCTCATTTTTTCCAAAACATTTCACATCTGGGTAGCAGCCAACCATGGAAAGTTTCGAGCCCATTTAGGAGAGGAATGAAGCTGGCATCCGCGGGGCCCTGCTCGGAGCCTCGGGATCAGCTGCGAGCTCGGACCTCGGGCCCACCCCGGCCGCAGGCTCCTGTCCGCGCGTGCCCCACGCAACTCGAGGCCTTAGAGTCCCAAAGGGACGCTCCCTCATTCCAAATGGCGAGAATCCCTGAGCCCGAGTACCCGGCCCGCACATCCCGGCGGGAGCGAGGGAAGGGGGTGGTCGGACCCCACTCCTCAGCTTCGCACGTCAGAACTACCCCGCTCCCCGCCACCCGCCCAGAGCCTCAGCCGCGGAGAGAAATTTGACTGCCCCCTTAGCCAATCAGAAGCGAGGCTGAGGGCCTCAGCCAATCGCATCGGGCGGAGGGGGCGGGCCTCCGGCGTGTGCCCGCCCCCGCGGGGGTGAGCCCGGAATGTCTCCAGCCCTCCCCTGCGCTCGGCCTCAGTGCGGAGCCGTCCGCGGTCGGCGTGAGGAGCAGCAGCCGGTGTCGTAAACGGGACCGCCTCGCCTCGCCTCGCCTCAGCTCGCCTCTCCGGGCCTCTCGCGCGCCGCCGGAGCCCACGTCGCGGAGTAGCAGCAGCCCACGCCCGAGCATCCTCGGTCCGGCGCGGAGCGGGCGCGCGGCCTCGGCATGATGCGGCTGCGGGGCGCGGCGCTGCTGCGCGACCTGCTTCTGCGGCCGCCCGTCGCCGTCGGCGCGGCCCTGCGGCGGGCGCAGCCCCTCGTCACGCTGTGCCGGCGCCCCCGGCTCGGGGCCCGGCCGGCTGCGTGCCCGGCGGCCTCGCGGCTGCACCCGTGGTGGGGCGGAGGCGGCGGGCGGCCGTCGGGGCCGCGCGCGGGAGCCCTGTCCAGCTCGCCCTCGGAGATCCTGCCGGAGCTGGGCAAGGGGGGCGCGCAGCCGCAGCCCGGGGCGTCGCCGCCCGCCGCCCCGCAGAGCCCCGGCCCCAAGGACGGCCCCGGGGAGAAGGACGCCCTGGGCCACGGCGAGGGCAAAGAGCTGATGGCCGCTGGCGACAAGTGAGTGTGCGCGGGGCCCCGGAGCGAGCGGCGGGCGGGAGCGGCCGAGCTTCCAGAGGAGAAAGAAAGGGATGCCGGGCGGCCTGCGTCGCCGGCGCCATGTGATTAGGCCCGGCCCGGCCCCGCCCGCGCCCACTTCCCCTCCCAGCCGCGGCGCGGGTCGCGCGCGGGGTGGGGCCCCGCCGGGAAAGGCCGCCTGCCCCTCCGTGGGTGATGCCGCCCGCCCTTTTCCAGCGGTGACATTCAGGAGTCCGGCGTGGAGCTCAGCCTGCAGCCTTCGCGAGTTTCCGCCCGCCTCCCTCCCTTGCCCTGCCGCCGTCCCCCTGGAAGCCAGATGTGGCGGGGTGCTCTTAGGCTCGGAGGCTGGCTCCCCCGGGCGACTGGAGAGCCGGCTGGGCCTCCGGAAATAGTTTCAGAAATGAGATTAAGAGCAGTAGGGGTCATATGGCCCAGAAGACGAGGCGCGCACGCGAGCACTTGAGCACCTGCGCTGCGCGCCGGGCCTGCTGATTCTTCGAGAGGTGGACAGATGTCTTAGAAAAGTCACACAGCTAAGATGACACGTGACAGCCCTGCAAAATCTGAGTTACGCAGGTTTTTTTACTTGTGATAGAATGTTGACTCATCTTGTGTGTGTGTAGCACAGTAATCAGTTGGCCTCAAAATCGATGTTTCTTAAGATGTAGTTTCCTGAATGTTTTTGTCGTGTGTAATGCACATGGACGCAAACCTTTTTTTTAACCCACTCCGGGTAAACATTGACTGGTCGGTTTTCTGTATGCTCTACTATTTTTCTGACTTTATATTGACACAGTGCAACGTGTTTTTGCCTCCTTTTTACTTCTATTACCAAGTCCAGACCTAGGGTACCTTTAAACGGAAAGCGTGAATTTTATAATTTCAGGCCTATTTGATGTTTCTTTTCTGTAATTGAAATCGAGACCTTCCTAAAACATTCCTAAAGTTGTTTTCCCAGACTGAAGAATGTCATTTAAAAAACAAAATCAGTTGGTAATGAGCAAAATTTGTGGTATTCTGCGATAATGGTTTATGGTGCAAAATAGCCTCATGACCATGGGCATCATTTATATATTGGGTTAGATAGCTCAAATCCTTTCAGTCTTTATAAAGGCCTAGACTTGGGTAAATTTGGACCTCTTTCTAATGTTTTAGAGACTAGAATTTGAGCTTAATTTCATCTGAGACTCATTTTTACTTAAAAATCGTCTGGCTTATCAAGCATGTAATGAGTTTAAATACATGTGCCCTGAGTTAACAGAAATGCAAATGCAGTTAGAACCATTTAAAAAATTATCCTTAAGTGCTATGAGAACTGCTTTCTATTAAAAATATGTGTAGTTCTGTGGCTTATGTGCCTCTCTCCTACCCCCTTTTGTCAGATAGAAAGCTGAATTTCTTTTGTGATTTACTTGTTTCCAAAAGATTCTGGTTTCATTGCCTTCTTAAGTCATCTCATGGCAGTAACTTTGAAACACTATTTTTGGCTAATGTCTCATCTTGTTCTCCCTCTTCCCCCCCCTTCCCCCAACCAAATAACAGGCTAGGGAGACAATTCCAGATCTCAGATGCCCTGAGTTCAAATGCCAGTAAGATAACTTTGTTTACCTTAGTTCAAGGGAGAAGTTTATGGTGTGTGTATGTGTGCCACCAAAATTTGAATTACAGATAGGTTTAGAAACAATTCAAATAGATAATAATCCTTAGAGCTTTCAGTTCACTTTGTAATTTGCTTCAGGAGTGGACCACAGCTGTCTTTAATGAACATACAAAGTGAATGAAGAGCACTGCTCTCAAGGTTGTGAATAAAACATTGAAATGTGGTTAGTTTCTATTTCTTAAATCGTCTGGTTTCTAAATGTAGGTTTCCTCCTTTGACTCCTTCCATTTTGCCTTGTGTGACAGACATTTCTCTTACTCAGGGAGATAAATTTCCATTGGCTCCTGTTATCCTTCCCAATGCACAGGTCAGTGCACTGCCAACACTGCACTCTGACAGACTTGAGAGAGTTTACTAAAAGAAGTAGCTGCGTGGAAATTAAATGAGATACCATTTTGTAAAAGGCTTAGAACAGTGTTTGGCATGCATTAAAAGCTACCTGTTTATCCCATAAGTGAGAATAAAATTTCTTCATTTATTGAAACCTGTCAAGGACATTGGTCTTTGAATTTCAGGGTTATACATGAGAACTTTTTAGTTCCCAGAAAAAATTTTCTCTTGAGAAATCATTGTACATCTGCCTTCCATGAAACTATGATTTGTACTGTTTACTTTTTTGCCTTGCTGGTAGATCACAGTGAATTTAATGCTTAACCACAGCAACTTCATTAATTAGTTCATATGCTGAAATATTTGTGGTTTTATTTCCTGTGCCTGGTGCTGACTTTATCTCATTGTAGAAGGAGTTGGAATATAAGTAAATTACTTAGCTTCTTCCCACGAGCTCTGAATCATTGTTGCCCTAGACTGTACCATCTCCTTTGTGCACCTGCAGTCTGATTTACATTAGGACTGCTGTATGTGACTAACATCTTAGAGAAAAGCCTAGTGGTCTTTGCTCGTTTTTTCCCTCTAGTGGTCTAATTGAATCTTACTACCATTCATCCCATCACTTAAAAAAAAAAAACCGAACCTTCCTTGGCTGTCTCCATGTTTTTCTCTCTCTTTTCCCGGGGCCTCTCAGAGGGTGTACACTGTGTACACTCTGACTGTACAACCTCACTGAACACCCTGACGCCACAGTCTTTCCTGCTTACCCTTTCCCACTCTCAAGGGCACTGCCCTTCCCTCAGCTTCCCTCACCTTTGGGTGAGCAAAACAAATCTGAGCTGTGCTGCAGTAGATCCCCACAAATTTGATGACTTCATATTTAAAATTTGTGCTCCCCATATCTAATGTATTTTTCTGATTCAGTCTATTTTGTATACTGTTACAGATTATGGTTTAGAATTTTAATTTAAAATATCATTCTCTTTGCAGAAAAGCAACACAGACTGGTACCAACAATGCTAGCACCATTTCTCAAACTGTTACGCATTCAGGAGCCTTGAGTAACCTGAGTGGAAATGCTTGTCTAGGAAAACATTTTTGTCAGACCTTTATCTCTGCTGTCAAGCATGCCAAGCTTAATTCTCCAAAGGCCACAAGCTTATGTCCTGTCTTAGTGAAGGATCCTTGGGAAAGGTCAGAGGGAGAAGGGTGCAGAAGCATTGTTAGATTACCTTTTGTTCTCACGTTTTAGTTTTTAATTAGAAAGGAAAAGAGAGTATATAATCGGAAGTGAGCTGAAAAATGTCAGACTATGTATAATCCTTACAAAATAAGTAATTCATATAAGGTACAGTACTGAAAGGATTCTGTTAAAACAAGACTAGTTTTTCCCTGTTGGATTGGCAGGTGTTAGATCAGGTGATACAAAAGAGAAGAGGAGTAGGACCTCTTGCATAGCCGGTATAAATTAATTCATCTACTTGGAAGGGCAGTTTAGTAGTATCTGTTAAAAACTGCCTTCCTAGCCTGGCATGGTGGTGCATGTCTAATCCCAGCTACTCTGGAGGCCGAGTGTGACAGGAGCTTTGAAACTTGCAGGCCAGCTTGCGTAACTAAGAGGAACCCTGTCTCAAAAAAAAAAAAAAAGGTAGAGTGGCCCTGGGTTGATTCCCAGTACCACAAAACAGAGAAAGTTGCCTAACCATTATGCATTAATTATATATTTGCATGTCAAAGTCAGGAAGCATAATTTAGGATACATTTAAATTTAAAAATAAAAGTGCAAGCAAACTAACTTCAGCTAGCTTCAGATAGTGTGGCTTTATATTTTGGTAGTTTATATTAAATGGAAAGTGAAGGGCAAAGAAAATCATTGCATTGTATGTTGTGAAAAATTTCCATACTTAGGCATTTCAGCAGAAATGATAATGAAGTATTGATAATGAAGTTGAGACACTATATTTTGGCAGATATAGATATAAAATATATTTTGGAGTTGAAAGACACAACCTGTTTAGAAATAGGTAGCAAATGCTTTTATAATCATTCTATATTGCATTTGTCTTAAACATTAATCAAACCAATCAAAATTTTAATCAATTTTGATTAAAATCAAGATTGAAAGTACATCTAATTTTTTGAGCTTCTTAACCCCTCAGTTGTCTTATTTGTGTTCCCCTCAGTATTAAAACTTTCCCAAGTCATGGTTATCAGGGAGTTGGCTTTTTGTAATGCTGAGAATCTAACCTAGGGCCTCACACATGTTAAAATGTGTGTTCTACTACTTAATCTTTAGCCCATTAGTTTTTGTTTTATGGTAAATGACAATACCAGTAACTATAATTAAATTTTTTGCAGCCTAATACTTACATTGAACCATGTGCATTTATTAGCCATTGATATATATGCACATGGTCTGGAATTAACAGAATGCTACTAATTTTTTTAAATATTTAGATGAAGTTCACTGAAGAGCAAAATTTAGATCCCACAATTTAGTCTTGAGTTTTACTTTCTTGTTTCCAGACTTATTGTTTGAGGCGAAATCTCCCTTCCTCAAAATTAGCTGGGGAAATGACCACCACATAGGATTTAACCGTTTTTTTTCTTTTGATACTGGGGATCGAACTCGGGACCTTGTGCTTACAAAGCAGGCAGCGGAACCACTGAGCTAAATCCCTGGCCTGGATTTAACCTTTTTTATGAAGCAATAATATGTAGGCAAAAAAGAGGGGGGAATACTCTTTTAGTTTGATAAAGGTAAATGTCACCTTGAAGAGAAAATTTCAGGAGATTTTATTTATTTTGAAAAATTATTTGAAAGAAATCAGAAAAAAACTGTACTGTATTATATTTGAAGTGAAGAAAAATGATTGCAAAAACTGAAAGTCAAATTGTAGGATTTGCATTCTTTGAGGAACTCAGTCATATTAAATCGTATTACTCCAAGTGCTGATTTATAGTTACCTGTACCTTTTCACCATTTAAGTCA